GATGGTTCAAGACATAAACCTACCATATATTCTCCCTCGAAAAGCCACAGCAAGACTTTCCAAAGCAGTCCTAGGAAGTTAAAGAGATTGTTTTGCTTTTCTTTTTACATTTGCTGCCTCATTAAATGTTAATTGAGAAATGTGCTTAACATAAATGTCAAGGACCCCTTAAAAAGGAATTTTTAAAAAAGGATAGTGGGGAGGAGATGTTTAACAAAAGGTCCCTATGGAGCAGGCCTGGTTCAGGGAGGAGAGAGGGTGGCTCAGCACGCAGCCCACCCCGAAGACCTGGGCCTGAGACGGGTGCCTGGGAAGCCCGTGGGGCTCTGGGTTGACATCTCTGCGCACCGTTCAGAGCTGCCTCTCAGCCCAGCCGAGCCACCTGTCCTCACCACCATCCACCGCTCAGGTGGCTTTCATGGAGCACAGCCTTGCAGGGGTTTAGACAGATCCTCAGAACAAGTCCAGGAGTGGTGAGTCCCTCATCTCTCCACCTGTGCGACATCAACTGGTACAAAGGCAGGTGAGCATGAGCTACCTTATCTACACTTATTGCATATTTCAATCTGCCAACCACAAACAAACAAAAATAAACCTTCCTTACGTGAAGCCCCTATTATGGCTTAACTGGCAATAGAACTGTACAGAGAAGCTGACCCATGGTGTCCAGGGGCCCTTACCACTGGCCCTCACACAGAGACCTTCCCCAAGGCTGAGGAGTCCCTAGGGAGCACACAGGTCAGCTGGTCACCTGGATCCACATGCCTGTTGAATCAGCCCTAGATCTGCTCTAGATCAGGATCCACCATACCTGTCAGAACAGCTGGTCATCTGGATCCATCATGTTTATTGGATCAGCTCTAGATCAGCTGGTCATCTGGATCCATCATGCCTATTGGATCAGTTCTAGAACAGCTGGTCATCTGGATCCATCTGGATCCATCATGTTTATTGGATCAGCTCTAGATCAGCTGGTCATCTGGATCCACCACACCTGTTGGATCAGCTCTAGATCAGCTGGTCATCTGGATTTACCATGCCTGTCACTTCAACTGTGGGGTATGGTGCAGAGCATTGTTATTCATAATAATAAAGTACAAGGCTTTGTGCACTATTTGCTTTTCCTTAATTGATTGTCAGGTTTTATTTGCCTTCTTATAATAGATTCCTCTCCTTCTCTGTTACTCAGAGTAAATAATGCCGTTGCTGTAACCTACAAGCTGAAAAATCAGTGACTTATAATCCCACGCAGTCATCAGCGGGTGGGGAACTCACAGCCCCGGCCCCTCCGTGTGGAGGTCCATTCCCGAGGTCTCAGGTGGTGGCTTCTACATGGGCCTCTATTCTTTTCTCAGGGGTCCTGAACATTTATGTTAAGCCTATTTCCCTGCATCCAGCCTGGGCGAGGGAAGAGAGAAGTGAGGGCTTGAGGGGTGGGGGAGAGAGGAAACAGAGGGAGGAAGGGGTGCACTTAGCCCTTAGTGTATAGCACCATCATCGGAAAGGATGTTTGTCCGTGTGATGTTGTTTCCTGTGCCTTATGGCTGAATGCTTGTGTCCCCCAAATCCATGTTGAAGCCCAAGAGTGGCTGTATGTGGAGATGAGCCTCTAAGGAAGTGACTAAGTTAGATGCGGTCCTGAGGGTGCAGCCCATAGGAGGAGGCTCCAGAGCTGGGCGGCTCTCTCCACTCACCCTGACCAGGGGCCACGGAGCTCACAGCCAGACGAAGAGGCCCCAGGGTAAGGCCATGGCCTGGACCTCTAGGCCCCAAAGCTGTGAGAAATAAATGTCTGTAAACCAGCCAGTCTCTGGTGCTTTGTTATGGCATCTGAGCAGATCAACAGTGTTAGTATCAGAAAAAATAACCTGTTTTCCCCTGGAATGTTTCCCCTTTCACCAGCCTGCGTGTCCTGGGGCCATCCTTGAGAAACTGCAGCAGCGGCTTCCTTGTCCAGAGGAAGCGGGGACTGCTGGCCCCTGAGGCTATTTTGCATCTAAGTGAGGAGGGTGCTCTCTGGGTTTCCAAATGAAAGGGGGCTTTTGTGTGCTTTCTATTATTACTTAGTGTTTTGGAGCATCCTGTTCTGAGGGGCCTACGGGCCCTGGAGGCAGACACAATGTGACAAGCTGTCTCCTATTGGCAGTCTCATCACTTCTGGAACATTCAGAAGTCTCCTTTTACACAGAAGGAAAAGGACACTTGAAGGCACCTTGGGAGCAGTTTCTTGCTCCCACAGCACATGGGGTGGGGGGTTGGGGGAAGTCCAGCACTTTGAGGCAGATGGAAGACACAAAGGACACCAGCTCTGCCCCTGAGGCGCCTAAATCTCAGGGAGGCGAGGTGAACCCACAGGAAGCCGCTAGAACTGACTCTGGATGTGGCGGCTGCCCGGCCGGGGAGGGAGCCCTGTCATTTGGGTCCCTGTGTTCACGCCAGCAGGACAGTGGCGGATGACCCCAGTCAGCGGTGTGCCACGGAGCCCGCCAGGGAGGAGACGCCGCTCAGCCTGTGGCCTGAGAAACACGGCTGTGGAAGGAAGCCTGTGAGCCCTGATTTCCTTTCAAGGTCATCTCAGATGTCAGCATCCACGAGGCCTTTCTGGGCCCAGCTGGATGGTGCCCTCGGCCCCCACCCCGGCAGGGACCCTCTTCCCCACAGTGTGGCTGCAGGGGTGCGGGTGCTGGGTCTTGCTACTGGTCCTTTGAGAACAGAGCTCAGAGGCCCTGCTCCAAATGCAGGCCACCTGGCTCTCAGATCCTGGGCTCCCTGGCTACTCCAGCCCCACCTCGGTCAGAGGTCCCCCTCCCCTCCACACTGGCCTCCCAACCTGAAGGACGACTTACTGTTTGGTCAGGGCCCATCGTTACAACAGGGAGGATAAGACCAACCCCTCATGCTGAGGGCTCGAAGCGCACCGTGACCCCTCCCACCCATGTCCACACCTGGTGCACATTCAAGCAGTGGCAGCAACTATGACCACTGATGTCATGCCCAGTGACAGTGTCCTAAGAAGAGACAGCACAGTAGAGACAGAGACAGAAGCCACATGAAGACGGAGGCAGAGATGGGAGGGATGCAGCCACAAGTCAAGGGATTGCTGGAGCCCCCAGAGGCTGGAAGAAGCAGGAAGGACCCTCCCCTAGAGCTCCAGCTCCACAGTTTATGGTCATTTGTCCCAGCAGCCCCAGGACATTCACACACAGATGCCAGGGACATGTGCATGCCCTGTATGGACCCCAGTTTCCAGGTCACAAAGGGACAGGACAGCCTCCAGGGTTTATCTCTAAAACTCTATGACTCTGTGACTCCCACCCCAAGGTGAGGCATCTCTCCAAGCAGCCTGGGTTCCCTCAGAGCTGAGCCAGGGAGAACCCCCAGGACACACATCCCACGCACAGCAGGCCCACAGTCGGCCCCCATCTCCATCCAGCCATGCCAGGAGCTCACAGCCCAAAGGGAAGCCAAATTTGCATGGCATGTGTCACCTATGGGTTTCCGGAGCAGCCACAGCAGCACAGGGCAAGGCCCCAAGCCCCACAGGTACTGGGAAGAGGGGCGCTGGCCCACTCCCCTGCTCTCTATCTGACAAGCAAGAGCTAAGAAGCCTCTAGCTGTTTCCACGGCAGGTTTCTGGTTTCCAGGAGGCAGGCTTATTTTCACACGAACATGGGGTTTTTTAAACTATTTATCCTTCGTAGTGTACTTACCTGAGACCTGTTCTTATCTGGAACAAAATAGCCAAACATACCTGGTGAGACGGTAAAAACCCACTCCAACAAAAAATGACCTGTTTGCCCACCTTCTGGAGAAGTGGATATTGTGATTTGGCTGCGTGTGATTTGGCGGCAGTGACGGGGAAATAATAGTGATGATGGGACAGTAATAATAATGACGGAAGAAGAAGAATAGCCGGCTTTGTTTCTGAGCACTCACCGCCAGAGGCCCCGTGCTAAGCGTTTAAGAGCCATCCACCCACTTAATCCTAACAAAAGCACCGCCAGATGGAAATTAAGGGGATTACCTTACAAATTAGAAGACCAGGCGAAAGCTGACTCACACCAGGTTTCTCTGAGTCCAAGGCCTATGAAGGTCGCTGCCACCCAGCTGCCTCCCACAAAAAGTAGCCATGGGCCATGTGCAGGAGAACAACTTGTCAGCAATGGATAGGGGGACCAGGGGAAGGGAGATGGCTCTGAGCAACACCAGCCATGTTATTTCACATGTGCTGCTTTAGCAGACATGCGAGGTCACTTTAGGGATTATATCAAGTTGCTGTGTGTGTGTGTGTGTATTTGTCTTTATGTGTGTGTGTATGTGTACAGGCATGTGTGTGCTGTGTGTATGTACTGTCTGAATAGTATGTGTGTGCGTGTGTGCAGGCATGTATTGGGCTTGTGTGTGCATATGTGCGTATATGTATATGTGTGTATCTCTGTGTACGTGCGTCAGTGTGTGCATGGGTGTGTGTGCACATGTATGTGGGTGTGTGTGTGTTTACATGTGCAGAAACATGAAGAGAGAAGGTCATGAGTGAGCTGTAGAGAGCAGTTCAGCCAGGAAAGTCCCTGAGATGAGTGGGTATTTAGAAACTGGCTCTGCCAAACTAAGCAGAAAGTGGGAACCAATTGTCCCATGTATGCAGGTCCCTCAGGCTCCCCTCAGGACACAGCTGAGCTTGCTCCTCTGAGAGGCAGGGCAAGGGAGGATGCAGACACAGACACGTTTCCCTGCAAGGGTTCTGCTCAGGCACAGGCAGGCTCCTACCCAGGGGCCAAGCTGGGGGTTAATTCCTCAGAACCAGGGCCCACGTTGATCCAGTAGAGTATTTGAACCTTTCCCAAGGCCAGGGGGTCATGGTTCAGTGCGTGTGGTGGAGGAGTGCCATGTGACAGGGTGACCTCCAGATTCCACACATGGAGACGTGGCTTTGAGAAGGAGGGGATGACGTGAGCATGAACCATTCAGTGTCAAAGCAGCCTGGTGCTTCTGTCTTGCAGGAATTCGCCGACTCTGTGTCCCAGATGGTCACGCAAAAGTTTCGTGAGCTGACCGTGGGCCTGACGTCCATGCACGCCCGCCACAGAGCACTGGCAGGGATTGTCATGACCAAAGGTAACGCCTCATGTTTTTGCTGTGAGATTTTCATCTCAAGGAGAGGAAATTAGCACTTTCCTGGTCTTAGGAAACAAAGGATTCTCCCTTCCATCTGAAGACATGAAAAGGAAAACAAAACTAGACACAGAGGGATCAGTGACAAAGTGTGTGACCAGAAAACCTTTAGTGACAGTGGTTGTGTAACAACACCTCCTTACAGCCATCTCTGCACAGGCTTCTCTCAATTTCCTTAAGAAGTAAACTAAGAACTGGCCGGTCCCTTTGCTATTGGGCATTTCCCCACATCTCGTTAGCAGGAAGAATGTGCGGTGCTGGAGGAACCAGTGAAAGCTGGAATGCAAGGCCAGGCTAGGCCACCCGATAGATCACTGCAGGCTGGTGGGTGAGGCTTCCATTTATTCCCGCTCTGCCTTTCCCTCCCCCAGTGCATTTTCTCTGTGCTCAGCCCAGTCCAGAGAATTCACTTCACCTGAGAATTATGAGCCCCTCCCTCTGGGGTGCAGACCACCCGGGAACCCTATCACAGAAGAATTGAATGCACCCCTTCCTGCCAGGACACCCTCCACCCACAATGCTCACAGATGGATGTCCATCCTCAGGCACAAATGACAGAAACAAATCACGGTCATGGCTGCTTTTATAAGCCCAGGTGGGAGAAAATGGTGGTTGAATTTAAGCAGTCAGAACTAGTGAGAACATTACGGACCTATTCATGATAACTAACCAGCTAGTTATTTGAATTCAAATGTTTTTGTTCCCAACGTTTGGCATAAATTGGTAACAATATGCTACAGAATGGTTATTGTAAAAAGAATTGGCTGAGTTGAGTTTCACACATACACACTGCATGTGTAGGAGAAGTCTAAGACCAAGAAGGACCATCTACCTGATGTTCAAATATATTTGTATTAAAATCTATTTAAAACCAGGCTATTGGTACATTTCTGTCGTTCTCGCCCCAGTGCCATCCCCGTGCAAGGACACAGGAGCAGGCACATGGAACTCAGGACACTGTCTTCATTTCAGCCAGAGGATATGTCACTTATCCTTTCTGTTTGGGGCATATTTTATTTTTTATTTAAATTCTTCGTTGTTAAAAAAAAAATTCTTCGTTGTTGAAAGTATTACATATGTCTTCTTTTTCTCCATTGACCTCTCTCCACCCACTCCCACCCCACAACACATGCCCTCACACCTCTACTGTCTGTGTCCATTGGTTATGCTTATATGCATGCATACAAGTCCTTTGGCTGATCTCTTACCCCCACACACATCCTCCCTTGCCTTCCCTCTGAGGTTTGATGGTCTGTTTGATGCTTCTCTGTCTCTGTATCTATTTTTGTTCATCAGTTTATGTTGTTTATTATACTCCACAAACGAGTGAGACCATGTGATATTTATCTTTCTCCAACTGGCTTATTTCACTTACCATAATGCTCTCCAGGTCCATCCAAGCTGTTGCAAATGGTAAGAGTTTCTTCTTTTTTACAGTAGCGTACTATTCGATTGTGTAGATGTACCACCGTTTTTTTAATCCACTCATATGCTGATGGGCACTTAGGCTGTTTCCAAATCTTAGCTATTGTAAATTGTGCTGCTATGAACATAGGGATGCATATATTCTTTCTAATTGGTGTTTCTGATTTCTTGGGATATATTCCTAGAAGTGGGATTACTGGGGCAAATGGGAGTTCCATTTTTAATTTTTTGAGGAAATGCTATACTGTTCTCCACAGTGGCTGAACCAGTCTGCATTCCCACCAGTAGTGCATGAAGTTTCCTTTTTCTCCACTTGTCATTTGTTGATTTGTTGATGATAGCCATTCTGACAGGTGTGAGATGGTACCTCATTGTTGTTTTGATTTGCATCTCTCGGATGATTAGTGACTTTGAACATGTTTTCATATGTCTCTTGGCCTTCTGTATGTCCACTTTCTAAAAGTATCTATTTAGGTCCATTGCCCATTTTTTGATTGGATTGTTATTTCTTCCTTTTGTTAAGTTGTATGAGTTCCCTGTAAATTTTGGAGATTAAACCCTTATCAGATGTAACATTGGCAAATATGTTCTCCCATGCAGTGGGCTCTCTTGTTGTTTTGCTGATGGTTTCTTTTGTGATGCAGATGCTTTTTATTTTGGTAGTCCCATTTGTTTATTTTTTCCTTCGTTTCCATTGTCCTAGGAGAGTGGTTGGCAAACTCATTAGTCAACAGAGCCAAATATCAACAGTACAACGATTGAAATTTCTTTTGAGAGCCAAATTTTTTAAACTTAAACTATATAGGTAGGTACATTGTTATTAACTTAATTAGGGTACTCCTAAGGTTTAGGAAGAGCCACACTCAAGGGGCCAAAGAGCCGAATGTGGCTCGCGAGCTGCAGTTTGCCGACCACGGTCCTAGAAGATGTGTCAGTAAAGACATTGCTACAAGATATGTCTGATATTTTGCTGCCTATGGATTCTTCTAAGATTTTTATGGCTTTCCGAAGTCTTATGTTTAAATTTTTTATCAATTTTGAGTTTATATGAAATAAGAAAAGACCCCGAATAGCCACAGCAATCTTGAGAAAGAAGAACAAAGTTGGAGGGATCACAATACCAGATATCAAGGTATATTACAAAGCCACGGTTCTCAAGACTGCCTGGTACTGGCACAAGAGCAAACATATAGATCAAAGGAACAGAACAGGGAATCCAGAAATTGACCCAAGCCATTATGCTCAATTAATATTTGACAAAGGAGGCAAGAGCATACAATGGAGTCAAGACAATCTCTTCAATAAATGGTGTTGGGAAAATTGGACAGATACATGCAAAAAAATTAAACTAGACCACCAACTTACACCATACACAAAAATAAACTCAAAACATGTTTGGCAGAAGAGACTATGAATGAAAAACAGTATTATCCCCCTGCTCCTCATTTCCCTTCGCTCCTCAGAGGCAGGCACCTCTAATAATGTTCAGCTTTTGTTCTCATGACCGTAAATACTATATTGGTTCTGCATTTCTGGATTTTCAATTCTAAATGCTATCTGCTGACTCACACTGTTAAAATTTTGTGCTTCTCATTGTTTATGTGTGATATTTGTACTTTTAGATAAATTCTTAAACTTTATTTCTTACACTATCAAGTTCAGATGGCCCATCCTCACTTCCTGTTCATAAATTAGGGATGAGCCATTTACCTGCCCTGATTTGTTTAGCTGCTTATTTGTGCATTTTTCCCTTCTATGGTTCCTTTGATAAATTTCTTCCTTTACACACATTTTTGTGGAATTCTCGATATTCTGAATAAATCTTCCATTTTTTTACCTTTTCTTCCTTATATTTACTCTGTGTTCTTAGAAATTTCTTAAATTTATCTGACAACTCAACTGCCCTTTTTCCCCTGGTTTTTGCTATCTATTTTTATTGCTCAAGACATCTCTCTTGTCCTCAGTTTTCCCCTTTTCCAAGGGACACTCTTCTTGTCTTATAGATGCCATGCCTCCTCCAATTTCTCCAAGTGACTCGCTGGCAAATCCCTGACACCCCCCTGCCCTGGGAGCTGTGCTTCCTCTGCAGCCAGGTGCCCCCTCTTCATGTTCATTCCTTCTCTTCCATCTTGCATAGGATTCTTGTCTGGATAGTCTTACTGGGAATAAAATATTAGACTGATTATCACGGGACCAGGTATGGATTTCCAGGTGTGCGAAATGGTCACTTTCTCCAACAAGCTGTCACCCACACAGGAAGGCTGCCTGGCTGGTCTCCCTGTCAGTAGCAGCCAGGTCCTTGGGCTGGTGCACAGGAGCTGGCCGCTGGCGAGGGACCACTCAGAGCCACAACGAGGGAGTTTTGCCTGTGAGGTAACCCTCCCATCAGACCACTGACTGTCTCAGGCAGTTCCCCCAGTTCCTTCAGCCTAAGACTCTCCGTTGTTCACCCTAAGAGGCTGCTTCCAGTCGGGTTTCTTCTCCACGGACACTTGCACCTGACAATGCAGTTGCACGTCTCTTTTCAGCCCAGGAGGACGCCTGTGAAAGTCCATCTTCACAGGAGCCTAGCGGAGGGGGGTGCGGGGATTGTACCCTCCAATATTCCAGAACCTCTATCTTTCCACTTTCCCCCTTCTCGAACGACTGGTAATTAATTACTTTAGCCATAAAATCAGAAGCAGTGACCTTTTATTTACACCCAGTGGGGATGGATGGGGCAAATGAGTGGGAAAGTGAACTGAACAGGAAGCCCTGAACCAAAACTCATGCTGGACCCAGAGACTGTGAATGACCATGTGGATTTCAAGTAACTGATCTTAATAACTACTAAGTGGGGACGGAGACACATGAAGTGGGTGTGTCAGATTCATGAGGGCCGCTCCTCGAACAAGGAGTAGGATGCACAATTGATTGTAAATCTGTTAAAACCACAAAACGCAAAATAGATATTACCCTGTGTCACATGGATGCTGACTGGTGTATACTAAACGTCCCTCCTTAAAATCAGTCCCTGACTGGACATTTGGCCAACACACACACACACACACACACACACACACACCCTCCTGCTCATTGAGAGATAAACAGGAGTTTAGTCCAGAATAATTCACAAGGGGCTGATCAATGTCACTGAAAATAAACCTGCTCAAGAGCTATAAAGAAGGCGCCTGGCCACAGCATCTCGCAGCACACTCAGAGGTCCCGGATCTGTCTCTTGCTTCAACAGTGTTTGGACGGAACAGACCCAGGGACGCCCCTTGTTCCAGCCTCCGGCCACTCTCCTGCATCTCATCCACTCACCACCTTCAGGACCACCCCCGGGACCAGCCAACACCGGGTTTTTTTTCTACCTTAAACTCCTTATTGCCAAACAACCTTGAGCTCCCAAATTCGTCAGAATTATTCCACCCAGGTGGAGGCTGCGGTCAACCGCCTGGCCAACCTGCACCTGCGGGCCTCCTACACCTACCTCTCTCTGGGCTACTATCTCGACCGTGACGATGTGGCTCTGGAGG